AGGATTCCCGAAATCTCATTTAACATTTAAATACAGCTGTTCGTACAATAAAAAAACCAAAAAAAAGAAGAGGAAATGTTGCCGAAGACCGCAGTCTGTGATGGCTATTAAGTCGTATCCGAATACCATGCTTTATTTGGAAGTTTCTGCGTTATTCTTTGACAATGGCCAAGACCCCCTTCTGTACAGCAGTCAAGTCTGTCGAAACTATCAACCTCAGTAGTTGATCGTTCACTAGGCGGAAAACTTTTTTCAAGTACTGAAATAGTGCGCGGTTAAAAAATTCTCAAAAATTCAATTTGGAGCAGTGAACAATTTGAGTTATAAAGTAAAAATTGGCTCAAATTGTGTTGTAAAAATCGAACCAGATTGTGCTTCCACATTTGTGCTACAAAACGATTTTGAGTTAAAAAGTGAAAAAAAAATTGACTCAAATTCATTTTTTTTTTTAGCAAAAAAGTGGACTATTTCCCAGCACAAGTCTTTTTTAAAGTATGAGAATTGGTATTCGTGCTCTGAGGCCGTGTTACTTGGAATCAATTCGCACGGTTGTAGATGCCAACAGCAACTGTTCGTTGTGAAACTTTCAATTTATGCCTTTTCAAGAACTACATGAAAACAACCCCGCACAATATAGCACAAAATCGCTACTACCAATTTATCATCAAAACTACCGACGTAGAATTCAATTCCTGGTCTACCACATGAATAAGCGCCACTTTTTTCAAAAATTTTTTTGATGAGCTGACGTGATACAACATTATTTAATAAAAAAAAATTAGAATTTATAGGACAGGACTGGATTTTTTTTTAGAAGTTGGTAGGTGAGTGATCCATCCAATGAGTTTTGTTCCATTTTCGTTATTTTGCGCATGCAAACTGGTTTTTCTCAGCCGCGAGAAGTAGAGGGCAGTTGTGCATTTCGCTTCGTGGATGTTCAACGTGCTATGAAACGGTACTGCATACCACTCATCGCTAACGCTTGAAGGCTTCTTTTCGTCCTTTAAATTTTAAACAAACTTTAAAAATGATGTTTTTCTGTAATGGTTTTTCGACGTGACATAACTGCGAATTGTACACCAGAAGCCTGGATTCATCAAAGCTTCTCGATCAAATGATCTTCTTACGTCAGAACGACACTTATTGTCCCATTCCATTTTCTTTTCTTTTTTTCTTTCATGTCTCATCTTTATGTTTGGGTTACCACCGTAGCTAATTTTCTCACAGCTGATTTTCCGCGCCTTTCAGATTTTTATTAGAAAAATTTCACATCTATGAGCTGCACTTTTTTCTCTTAGCTCATCGGATTCAGCATTTAGTCTAGTTTGTGCTTTAAGAATTTTCAATTGATTCAAAAAGTTTTACAACCTATTTTACCAAATTAAGCTCAAGCAGTACTAAGTGGTTTTATCCAGGAATAAGCGTGTGATGATTAAGCACTGATAAAACAAGGGCAACCAAGCGATATTTGTGGTACAACGGAGTGTGATAGGTTGGCCAGATGCAGTTTTTATTATTGTTTTCCAACTGTTCTTCATTCGTTATTTTGTGTTTGCTTTCGTATAAAAGTACGTAATAACAGAGTAGGAGAAAAAGAAATCAGTCTAAGTGTCATGTGTAAGAGGACTTGCTACTTAATGTTTGCGCAAAAACACTAGACCTTATCATATTTCTTAATCGGTAAGATGCCTTATCGCCCTATGAGATCAGTAGCGTTTGTGACGAGATGGTAATGCTCAAAATACACCTACAACAGTGAACTGTGCTTGGTTCCTGGTGCTTGCTGCAAGTTTCTTTGTTGAGGCATAGCAAAGTGAATACTAAGAATTAAGAAGAATGCTAAAAACCTATGTTTGGATTAGAGTAC